TTATCTACATTAACGTGTACATACCGACAATTTCCTTTTCTAGAAAATAATAAAGTAAAAAATTGAGAGTACAGTAACGTAGTTATAGAATTTTGTAAAAAAATGCAAAATTTACATAAACTATTATTAACTAATGCTTAATGTAAAATGTCATTTTTTTATTATAAATATGTAGTTATAATGTTAATTGCAGCGTAGTGATGTACATAGAAAAAAACATTTATCAGCCGAGTCTTCAACCACAAAAGAACATTTTCATGTCTCGTTGAAGTACCGAATAAATTTAGAGTAGTGGTGGAATTATAGATATTGAAATAGTATATTAACAAGCAGTAACAAGCTAGTATCTATAGTGGATAGTAAACATATCAAGTTTCTGGCTAATGTTTTAGTATTTTCATAATATCTGGCCTAAAATAATTCATAGGAATATGACCTCTTAAATTATTGAATGTATTTTTCAGATCTAGTTTGAACGTTGTGAATACAACATATATGCCCACTTTCATTCCCACTCCCGACCCCAACCTCAATCCCATTCCTCATCTCTTATCTCTTATCAGATAATTTATGGAACGTAAGTTTTTTCGGTTATGTGCCAGAGCTAAGACATGGAAATGTCAAAAGTGGTATTGAAGAAGTTCACCTCTTCCTAGCCAACAGAATTATATTTTGAAAATCACCAAAATAAAATTTCAAAACTTGTTATGGACCAGTATGACAATGTTAATGACCAACTAATAAAGTTAAAATAAACTTAATTTTTATATTTTTTTAATTTTATTAGCTTATGATATTGCTTAGCCTAGTTTTTAAATGTTTCGTAATTTATTTTATAATTTTATCCGGCTTACAAATCATATAGTTACTACTAACCAAAGTACTACAAATATTATGTAAATTATTATTTATTATTTTGCAAACGTAAGCAAACCGGCAGTTGCTGATAATGTATTAACTTAAAAAATTATAGAAATATATTATTAAAAGGAGAACAATTGTTTACAACTCGTGATTTTACTAAAAATGTGTTTCCAGAATAATGAAAGAATAAAATATTAATTTTTTTATAGTTGCTTAATTTTATTTGCTTATATTATTGCATAGCGTAGTTTTTAAAAGTTTTGTATTTATATTCTTTATAGATCCAATCATAACTTTTAGTGATCTTTTTGACCTCTCAAATAGTAATTTTTTTTCAAATATATAGTAAAAATATTTTTTAATATATTTGAAAAATATTAATCGATTTTTTGCAGGACATTTAATTTAAAAACTATTTTTAATGAAATATTTATAACTATTCGAATTGCGCAGGATTAAAAAATGTCTAATGACATTTTTTGACTATTTTATAAAAGTTTTGCTTAAAAATATTCGATCTATGTGAGGCTCGACATAAAATCATCTAAATAGCTTTTCATTTAGTCTTTTATTCGGTTTTCAATCTTATATTTTTCCCAAACTACATTAAGTATAACAATATCGTAAAATAATTCCCAAAATAAGAATCAATTTAAGCTCTCGCAATTGTAGCTGAAACGTAACTTAACCTTTTTTAGTAGTGTTTTTAATTTAAAAGAGAGATGGTTTTTATATATTTTATTTCCCTGTAGACTACGGTTTTGAGAAATCCACGACACCATTAAAATAGAGAATTTTAAGATGAGATAAAAAAAAAAATAAAGAATTAATATAGAAATGATAATACGGGGAAGTTGATTACTAACTCGTATAAATTCCAATAAAATGTTTTAGTAAAACTCACCTGTAGGACTGCCGTTTATGCCTGAAAAATAAAAAAAAATAAACATAATTTTACTAAAACAACATCATAAACACGAATTATAATAAACTTTATAAATTTGGTTTTTATTAAATTATTTACAATTATATATTTGTAAAAATATATGATTCAGAAAATAAACAATAATATTTTAACGGAATTTATTAGTAGTTGGCAAATATTAATTGGACATGTTTAAAAATCCCACGTTTATGGTAACTAAATAGTACACAGTAACATATTACCTGTTGTTATTGCCAAAACAAAAAATGACACAACTATCTTTCTGATAAAACTTCCTGTGGATGCCATTCTTAAAAACCGCTGTAGCTGATAGGATCAAAATAATAATTTTATATTAAAACTGAAACGTTACGGTCAGTTATTTTACGAGTAGAGTAAGTGCGACTTGTTATAAACGAAGAAATGCAATGAACGGTATAATTTTTACAGAGAAATGCTCTACTAAAATACTATTTATTTTAAACAACAACAACAACATTTGTATTATTTGTACTAAGCAAACTTTTAGTCGAAAACAAATCGTGACCTATATGTTTGTATCCAAAAACTGTTTACATAATTGAGTACCCAAGATGTACACTTAATGGTTTTTTTAAGAGAATCCTGCAACGATAATCGTAGCCCGTATTTAAATATTGCTTATCTTTAACAAAACGTTAAAACCCGAATATAAAGGTTAATTATATTGAGGATTATTTTTTTGTACTTAAAAACTTTGGCTCAAATGACTTAAATATATGATATTTATGTATGATAACTATAAATGCCTTCTTTTATATTACTTTATGACGTACCTTTAAAAATATTTTAAACTGTATTAAACAGATTGCCGTTTTGGTTGTATATTTTGAAAAAAAGTTAACATTGATAACATCAAATTAAACTATATCGTACTTGCATGTATGATATCTTAAGTACAAAATCAATTAAAATAAGAAGTATTTAAGAAAAGAAGTTAACATTTTTAAAATTGAAACGATATGTCGGTCTATTTATTGAATTATAGGAAGAAACATCTAGATAAATTAAGCTTAAAGAAAATAATATTCGTTTAAGTCAATGGAGAATTTAAAAATAAGTTATTACGATGGTGAAATAACTATAAAATTAATAATTTGTATTTTATTTTTAATAAATAATATTTTAGTATTAATCTTCCCTAGTCACTCCACTCATCCGTTTTAGCATTCTCGTTTCCGCTACATTCATTATCTGTTTTATTTCATGTGTACTGCCTAACACTCCATACCCATACTCTATACTATTGATCTTAAGTTCTTGGACCTTTTAACCTCACACACTTCTTCTTGCCCTATAACTTTCTTCAAAATTTAAACGATCACCTCCGTTTTACTCCTAATAATCCTCAACCCTTTCCCTTCAAGCGCTTTTCTCCACTCTTCGAGTCTCTCGTCCAATTCTTCCGGACTTTCCCTCTCTAACATTAGCTTAGGCTGAGTAATTAAGATAAAAGTAAATTTCACTTTGGGTTGTGTTAGCTGCAATTTTTTAGATGTTTAAAGATAGCGTTATCGTTAAGCTTAAACTATGAATAAATTCAATATTTAAAATAAATTTACGAGAATTACTTTTGAAGCTTTTTACATAGTAGGCATTTATTTTCACTATTTATAAATAATAATAAAACATAACATTGCATTTACAGTTGATCCAACTAAACAATACTCATAAAACGGATAACGGCATCGCTTAAAGTGTAAATGATGTTACTTAAAATTAGCGACACGTCTAATGTCATCACATTTAAATCATAAAAAAAAATATTTTTAGATGTTTTAAACATTATATAAAACATATTGTAATTTATTTCCAAAGATGAACGTCCAATTAAATGCAAAATAAGTAATTTGATAATTTATTTTTAGCTTCTGAATTAATTTATCAACTTTCTCCGTTGTAAACTAGTTATATCATCTACTGAAGTGTTACGTTCTAAAAATTGGCATTGCCAAGGTTATTAGCTCTGGTAATATAATTGAAAAATAAAGAAATAGTTTTTTAATTCACGCTTCAAACTAGTTATAACCATCAAAAACAATTGTAAATAGAAATTTTATAACTTTGTTTTCGACCTTCAAATATTTTATAAGTCAAGTAGAACTTTGGTATGTGCAAAATGAGGCAAACCTATTGTTTTATTTTTGTCAAACTGACTTGTGTAAACATTTAACAATTAATCTAGTTCATTAAATTTAAGCGTATGAATTAATACAGTAAAGGTTTAGAATAATTGTAATTTTATATCATATGTCATTCCCAAATGATATTTTGGTTTCGATGCAGATTTCCTAGGAAATTGAGAAAAAAACAACTTAAAAATTATCCCATTTTAAGATAAGGCACACCATATCTATTCGAAAAATATTAAAATTATTTTCAAATTTGTTTGGAGTAAGTATTACTTAGATACAGCACTACAAAACTACAAACAGGTATACAGTTAAAAATAAGTATAATAACATTAATCCTTCTTCCCAGAAGATCACAAGGTGGTCAATTTAACACAAAACCCATTTTTTTTTTGAAAAAATACTAACAATTTGTTAAGATTTTTTTTTAAAATATTCTTGATTATTATTTTGAAGTATTATACATTTTCCGAATAGACCAGTCATAATCGTTTTTAAAAAGGAAAACTAAACTAGATTCGAATCGAAGAGTAATAAATTTTGTTACCAAATCATCTGGCAACAATCCCTCCCAATCACATATGATTTATTTAAGATATTGCTGTGTGCGAATACTGTTCATAACGTAGGTATATTGTATTGTAAATAATTAGAATAATTCGCTTGACTCGAAAAACGATAAACAAAGCTCTTTCATTTGCCATCTACGTGAAATATTGATTAACTATAGAGTAAATTGATTTCTGTCTATCGCTCATTCAGAGTAAATCTACACATACACCTGTCCGTGTGAAGAAAATTCGCCATCTTATTATTATATTGACTTGATGTGTGTGTGTGTGTGTGTGAAATGGTATCTGGCGGGTGTCGGCTGTTATTGGGATTTTTTAGGAGTGTAAAAAAAATAATAAAAGTGAAATGAAATGATTGAACTTGTACGAAACGAGAATGGCCAGCCGGTCGTGACCACTTTCACGTTTACCCGGGCCGAAATCCAAACGTTACGGGATCAGCTACGGTAATCGGACGGCGACCGAACGCGGTATACGGTTATTACCACGCGGCCAGACAACACCGAGCCGTGATCCACCTCGGTCGAGAACGCTGTCCGCAGTGCACATTCCATCCGGTCGGTAGTGGGACACGGTATACACACCGTAAACGTCTTGTTTCGGAAGAACTCTCACTCGTCTTCGTGCTCGCGTACCCGTGTAGTTTAGATAATATTTTTGTGTTTACCATTTAGAAAGCAATGGCAATAGCCGGAAGGACCGTCTCGGCAATACCACAGGTGTGTTTGTCGTCGACGTGAGGGCCATGACAACATCCGACTCCAATCTCAGGTCCGAGTGAGTATGGCATCTGTCTGACCAAACCAACACAACCCGCCCCCAGGCGAAACCCTAAAGTCCACACTTGTACACGGTTTACACTTGGTGATCACTGTGGATGAATGCACCAACACTGTAAGTCGTCGGAGGGTTTTATCCAGAGTGAACCGCGTAACCGCGGCTAAAGGAAACCCTAAGCATATTGGTTAGGACCTAATCCTTTTTTTTTTACTAACCTAAACGAATCTGACCAAACCTAACCTAACTTGACCAGGTGTTCGAGGTGCTACTCAGTCTAAAAGTTACATTTTCACTTGTCTCAGCAGGTCTCGAGGGTGAAACTTCACAGAAGCCACGAACGCCATGCCACCGTTACTGTCCGGGGCCATGGCCAGCGCCGCTTGGACCGGCGCCGGACTCATACCCGTCTTCATCGTCGCCTTGGCATACCTCCGGTACTCCATGTTTGATCCTGAGTCCCGGGTCATTGACGTCCAAGAGGTAAGCCCCGTTAACCCAAACATCTACTTTTATAGAATTTATATTATGCTCCTAAAGTATGGCATCGAGAAATGCTTAAAAATAGACTGAACGATGAGCCGGATTAAGGATAGGACAGTGTTGGAATTGAGGTGATTAGAGTATATCGTGAGATAAAGCAGAAAACGAGAAGAAGATCTTTATCGAAAACCATATAAATTAGCATATTTATTTGGTAACATTTAGAAAATTAGTATCAAGCCCACCTTCAACAACGTACAAGTCATTCGTACAAACATATACCATCATACTTACCAGATAACGGTTTAATGAATCACTAAGTATTATAATATATTCATCTCGTGTGTCCTTAAAAGACGTCTTATTTAATCTAGATCTCCTTGTCGTTAAGCTTTCCAAATAGCGCTTATGCTATTTTATATAATATGCTTTTTTAAGCGTTTATGTGTTCTGCTTTGAGCTTTAACGTTTACAAATGTCCAAATTTTTAAGACATTTTATTTTGGATTTCGCATTGACATATGACAAACCTAAATGCCAAATGATGGCTAAGTGCAAAAGAATATAATGCATAATGAAACGATTGGGTCTTAAGCATTTATGTACATATAGGTGCAAGTAGAGAGGGAGTTGTGGAAAAAGAGTTCAGCGTTCTTTGATTTTTCATGATATCATGCTTTGTTACCGGTTAGGAAAATGTATTGATTTTAATTAGCGCCTAATTGTTAATCTATGGTATGAGTCATGCGACATGCAGTTCCGACAAATTTATTACTGATACCAAGTCTTTGACCATAACCGAATAGCTATAAATAGATGATTTATGTGTTTTTAATTAATGTTTTGCAAAACTCGACTGAGTATAAGAACCGTTTTGCTTGCATAACTCCGGTTTCGTTGATTTATAGTACTGATAACACAATATTTCGAGATGCGTTGGTACGACAACAGCTGTAATATGGTTATAATGTGTGTTTACCGCTAATTTTCTCTTTTACCGCCAAAATGATATGAATTACAAATGCGGTTTGATTGTATCGCAGTTTGAATTTAAAATACACCGTTGATTTCTCCACGTGTTTTTACTACTGGTATTATTTACCATTATTTTCGTCATCGTTATTATTATTATAATATATATTTTTTTATTATTTAGAAAATATTGTTCTACTATTATTGTGCCGCTTCGCAGTTGGACGGAACACCGCTAGGGTTATTAATTGAGTTTAAAGGAATATCATTAGGTCTGGAGAGAGAGAGAGACAGGGGAAAAAATGTCAAACAATTGGGATGAATGAAAAATGTATATACTTTTTGCACCTAGAATTTATTTTTAATATTATGTTGTGAAGACTAGTTGTTGTTGCTAATACGTCACAAACACGTGGGAAACTTTCGTTTAATTTGCATTATTATAAAGCGACCATTAGAATATAATAAGTTGTTTTTTTCTTTTCGTTTTTCTCACACTGCTCAACGCGCTCCAACAAAAGATTCTCACACAACATGTTAGTATCCAATTATTAGACTACAATATTATACACCCACTTGGACACATTGTTATACATATATATGGGTGGTACCCATGTACATAGTCGTGGTGGTCGTCGTCGATATGAAAAATAGGCTGTCTCCATTACACATTTTATTTTCGGTAATGGTTTCATCGAACGGTAACAGAATAATAATAATTTTTCATATGCTCGTTTGAATCGGTCACTTTAGTTTCCTTTCACCGCCGTTATCACATTATATCGTCGTATATATATACGTATACATATATTATGAGTAACGAGATAATGAGATATATGTATACTGTATCAAGGACTAGAATAACTTGTATATATAAATATATACACATTGCATTGTGCGGCCACATTCAAACGGCGGTATACATACCTGTTGCCGAGCAACAGAATGTAACGCTATATGATGTGTACCTACAAGACCGGTGTCACGTAGTACACCACAATGTTTTTTTTTTACTTTTTTAATTCTATCGAATTCAAGACATTTACGGAATTCACGTTTTTGGCCACTCGTAAAACGGGATTATACTACCTATTTCTCTAATTCGGACAAGACTTACCCAAGTCGATAATACAGTTGACGGAGTTTAAACGGAGAAAAACACATACAAATGCATATTATCCTTCATGAGTCATTAGAATTCTGAATGTAACTTAAGTAATAAATGCACTGAACTCAATATATGGAAGGCGTATTGCCTATATAGTCGTCTGCTTATGGAAATGTCCAGTAAGAAGCTGTCATTTTGTGTACACTTATTGTTTATTGCATTATGTATTAAACATATTATGACGGAGTTATCATCATGTTATCATCACCTAACCTAACATTTCTATGATTCATCGAATATAAGACTATATGAAAAAAGTCTGTGATATGACGGTGTACACATGTATCTTGGAATAGTAAAGTAGCATTTTTACTTTCCAAGAAATTGGTACACAAAATGGCTGCCTCTTAGTGATACAATGTCATCAGGTTTGGTTAGGTTAGGTTTCAAGTGCACAAATTGTTTGGAATTTTTGTTTTCAAATTTTATTTTTAGATTTTGATAGTATTTTCAAGTACAAGTTTGATCCTATGATATTGTATCATTAAATCAAAGACAACAATCTCGTCTCTGATCAGTTTTTAACAGCGCGTGCCAAAGAAAATCCATACTAATTGAACACCAGTGTGTAACTAATGAAAAAAAAATGTTCAGCGTCCCCCGTGTTAAAATACTATAGGAATTCCTTAAATATAAAACAGAAAACCGACCACACTTAGTTAACGTTTTTTTCTTAAATATGCAAAAAATAAATTATTAATAATTGTTGTCGTTGTGGTTTTCTGCAAAGCTGCAATTAAAATTATTGCACCAGTGTGACCAACCGGTGTTAATTATTTAAAACTTTTACTCGCTGATAGGTATGTTTTCTAACCAAAAATAACCAATTACTTACTATATACCTGTAGTAATCCATCAGCTGTAGAAAAAAAAACCCGTCTCGCACAATATTATATCCGTGTTTTTTTTTCTTCTACAGTGTCTTCCGTAATAAGAAAGCGGTTGTTCCTAGTATAATATAATATAATTAATAGAGGTATATCATCTGACCGGCGAATGGCGGGTTTCTTTGGCAGTTTCTACAGTGTACTATAAATGTAAACCGGTTACATTATAGAGTTTTGTGTTATTCCAATCGATGAAATTATGACATAAGACATAAGTGTACTTACACTCCCAAATTCAGTGTTAACGTTATTACTCAATAGCCGGCTATATTGGGACGATTTAACGACGTCTCTGGTAACGGAATCAAAGAAAGCCATACCCTATTGATGTAGGTATATTAATTGGGTAATTAAAATTCTTAGAACATCTGAAACCATTGATATGCCTGTATTTTACTTTCCGACTCTTGAAGTAATTTTAAGAGAAAAACAAGTAAAACAACAATAAGTTAGGCCAATCTATTTTTATTGGTAAAATACATTATTTAAAATCAGTACCTTCTAAGCTCGGCGTGAAAGCAAAAATATATAACTATAACTATACATATTTTTTTTAAATCCAAATTGAGTAAATAAATTATTTTTAGTCAATTTATGTTAGCATACATACTTCCCGTTTAACATGCGAAACATAACTTATAATTACATAACTCACCATGACATTACGTTAAATTTATTTCCGGTTAAATATTTAAATTATATGACTTTACTTTTACGTTTTTAATGAACTTTTAACTATGGCATACTGCCTAAACTGGTACAGTTTATTACCGGTGCCGTTATTCTAAATATAACAAGTAACTAGTCCCTAACGTAATAAGTAATTGTAATGAACAAAACTGTCCGGATCTAGTTTCTTTTTCTTTTAAATATATTTTATCCCCAATTTTCAAAAGGGATCAAAATATTAAATACACGAACGACATTGAATAATTAATAAAATGCAACTAGATTTATATTATATTATTGCTTTTTACGTACATCTCATGGAATCAATATTCCAAAAATGATAGTAAAATTGTTAAATTTATTCAACAAAAGGTTTGTTCATATTTTCTTCGGTATTTTTGTTTGTTGCCAGTTTGAAAACTAAACTATGAATATAATAAGTTTAGAAAATGTTTTTGTCACCCAGAAATGTAGTCTGAACGTTTAGTGAAATAAATATGTTTAATATTCATTGCTCACATAATGTGAGCAAAAATGTTTAGTGTTTTTGGAAAACCTATAAATAAATATAAGTTCTTTTGGACCGTTCATTTAAATACTAACCCTTTTTTTTTATCCACGCTTCATAATAATGCTATGTCATTTTTGAGTTGTAAAATTAATAACTCTAATAGACAATAAAAAATTGTAATTAACATAAAATTTAATTTATATACTACCCAGACGTATTAATTATTTCATAATACCTATAACTTATAAAACAAGTGACAACTGAAATTTCACTTTTTTTTATGCACTTGGTTACATTTTATACTTCTTTCTCTTAGCACATTTAACTATACAAGTTTTGTAGCCATTTATTACATTTTCATAATACAAAACAGTAGCGGTATCTAGTTTTTATCGGTGAATGTGAAATGTACCCTAATACTCACCAGTTAACTTTTAAAGAAACCTTGTTTTTATATATTTCATTTTACTATTAATTTAGAACAATGTTATTTAATACACTAATTGGTTATCAACAAGAGAAAAAATCCAGCATAGTTGATCAACGATCCAGGCCTCGTTTACAAAGCCGGAGGGGAGGTTTCAAGATGGATTTTGGATATAAAGTTAATGGGTGTTATAGATAAAAAAAAGATATTCGAATGGCGTATTTGACCGAGAGGGCTATAGCTAACTTTATGCCAGTTCGGTCGCCTGAGGGCGCATGGCATTAATGCCATGCTTATCGGGGGTTGATAGTGTGGGCCAACGCTAAAAATGTGTTATAGAATACATTATATACAGTTAATAGTAGA